TACTCATGGAGGCTTATGAAGATATTTAAAATGTGGAAAAGTTTAATTTCCCCGATTAGGCTCATAAGTTTGTCCATTGAAGTGTTTTCAAGATCAAGGTTCGCAGTTGACATTCAAGCTACTTGAACTCGATACTTGATCTCAAGTAGCTCAACTGTTTGGTATCCTGATGAAAAGCTCCTCTTGGTTAACGGGGTAACACACACACACACACACACACACACATTGTTTTGTGGAAATTTCTCCTCCTTTTACCATTAATATTTGATTGGTTTTCTGGTTCTTTTAATTTATGTGTTTTTCAAACAGCTATCATGGTGGTAAAAAAAAAAAAAACAAAAAAAGGACAGGTTTCCTTTAATTATTGCCTTCCTCCACTCGGTTAAGATGGTGGAACATTTTCTAGTTTCCTATGTTTTGTAAGATAAATGATCCGTTGCTTTATATAACTAAGTTGGCCCGTGGATATTATATAAACGAAGAGACTGTTTTGGTTAATTATGTCTGCTGTTTTTCTCTTGGGATAACTTGGTACATATAATTAACAACTTTGAGAAATTCCGCCTAGTGATATCTGTGTTGGCATAGAAAAAAAAAGTAGAAGTCATATTTCTGCCCCGTATTTCGATATAAGACGATAGTGTTAACTCTTACTGATCCTTTTATTCTGCCTTTCAATCAGCTTGATTGGCGACAAAACTCTTCTTTTCCGTCCTTTTGATTGGAACTAGCTGCCTATAAATTTCTTGAAGAGGACACTTATATATGTATGGAATTGGGTTTTGCAATCAGAGCACTTTCATTTACGTTCACAGTCTAGTGACCTTTTGCTCTTTGCTTGGTATCTGTCATTCTTTACCTGAATTTAAGTTACCATTTATAGAATTGCTGAGTCTAACATATGAGCTGCTGCATGAGGCAGATAGAACACAGAACCCTATGCAGATGTTGACTATTGCAGTAAATCTCGAGTTTTCCGATATACTGAAGGCATTCCTCATTATCTGATGCAACTCTTCATTTTCGTTGCAGCTGATACTGTAATATATCGAATATTTTACTACATAAATAGGTCTGGAAATGGGCAACTTTCCCTGAGGGAGCTGAAACGTGGAAACATAATAGATGCAATGCAACATGCTGATGAAGAAGAAGATATCAACAAAGTACTGAGGTAGATTGATTATTAACTAAAGATGCTTCCATTAAGATGCCATAATTCTTTCCTCATACGCAGGGCTTATGGTTTGTCAAGTTTTGTATCAAATGCAGATAAGTGCCATTTTGACATAACTGCTTGAAGTTGTGTTAAAAAGATTTAATATGTATTCATCAGAAATGAAGTAGTTTATTTTGCCATGTTCAGTCCGGCATCTTAACTTGAATTTGAGTGGTGACTAAAAAGTTTTAGCAAGTGATGTTATGAAATTTTTCTGTTAGATAGTATCTTTGTGGTGTTTGGCACTTATCTTATTCTTCGCATCAGGTACTTCTCATATGAGCATTTCTATGTAATATACTGCAAGTTCTGGGAGCTGGACACAGATCACGATTTCTTAATTGACAAGGAGAACCTTATCAGATATGGTAACCATGCGTTGACTTACCGAATAGTCGACAGGATATTTTCTCAGGTTTGTGTTAGCTGGATCACTTTACTTTTCTTTTGGCAAAAAGTTATTTGCTCCTTGCAAAGATATGGAATCGTTAGTTCTGTGCTTTCTTGCCTGTATTTTTTTGTTCTCTTCATCAAGGATTTTCTCTCTGATAGCTTTGTTTTATCATCTCAGGTCCCGAGGAAGTTTACGAGCAAAGTTGAAGGAAAAATGGGATATGAAGATTTTGTTTTCTTCATATTATCTGAGGAGGACAAGTCATCCGAGCCTAGTCTTGAATATTGGTATTGCGGCTAGAATTCCTTTAAATATTATATCATGGTTGAGTATAAAAAAGTTTGGGTATCATAAATTATGTTGGGGATCAAATTATTACAATTTACTCAGGCCATCAGATGGAAATATTACTCTGTTAACTTGTTAGGAAAGTGTTGTAATCATCCTAAAATCATTTTAACAAAGGCTCCAAATTCAATAGGGAATAAAAATTTTCAGATCATGGTAACCTTCTTTTACTCTTAATGTGGAGAACACAGCCACACATTAATGTTGGGGTAAGAATTTAGAAGCTATCTTTTGCCAAGTGGTGTTGGATACAATCTTAAGGTTTACTCAAGGCCATTACTTGTGCAGCAGCAAGGTAGTTTATAGCTGTGAGCTTGAATTTTCTTAATGGCATCTTCTCAATGCAACATAATTATTTGTTTCATTGCTTTAAAAATTGAAATGAAAATGGTTCTACTAAATTGGTGAGGATATAAAATGCCTGATCGTCTTAATTTGCCCTAAGCAACAAGTTGGAGGTTCCGAATAATCAAATGGAAGCTGTTGAAAGCAAAAATATTATTTTCTGAGTTCTATTTGAGAAATGTCACCTTTGGAACATAGCAACTGTAGAATATATTTGGCTGGTCTATGTGTAGGTTGACACCTTCTACTTCGTCATCTTTATGTTTAACTTTTTGATCCTACAATTAGAGGTTCTTGCACTAAACTTAGATTGTAAAAATAGAGAGCCAGTCAAATGACAGTTCCTTTTGCTGGTGCACTGGTCTTAGTATCATAAGTAGAATGCTTTGTCTCTCAAGCTGATACTCATTAACTACTTTATGCTAATGTCGGGTTAATTTTATTCATCTCAGTGAAAGTATGGGTTCCTGCTATGTCTTTATCACTGAAAAAACATTAATTAGATGGTGGAATGTTCTACACATCATTTTTTGTCCTTTTGTAACCCGCATTAGCTACTAACATGAGTAAGCTACAGAAACTGGGAAAAAGCAAGTTAACTATTTCCTTTATCTTGATTTGTTTTTGTACCATCTTGTTTTCTTCAATACACCGTTTGAGGTTGGATTTTTTTTGTGTAGGTTCAAGTGCATAGATTTGGATGGCAATGGAGTTATAACAAGGAACGAAATGCAATTCTTTTATGAGGAGCAGTTGCATCGAATGGAATGCATGGCACAAGAACCAGTGCTTTTTGAGGATATTTTGTGTCAGATCATCGACATGATTGGACCTGAGGTTTAACCTTTTTCTTCATTTTAGTTCCTGAGTTCACTCAAAGTATATGACTTGATCAAATATGGAATGTCCCTGGCCTCATCTAAACAACCCCTCCGAGCCAGCAGGTTTCCCATCCTTGTTTCAAAATAGGGAATTCTTTTCGTGGACTGGTCGAACCATGCTGTAGTTGGTCTTTTCATGCCCAGTATGGAGACACTAATCCAACCAGCTGCTGAATTGATGCTTATTTGTGAATGCATCATGTAACACCTGAAGTTTCCTTGCTTGCAGAATGAGAGTTATATCACACTACATGATCTCAAAGGTTGTAAACTCTCCGGAAGTGTTTTCAATATCCTATTCAACCTCAATAAATTTATGGCCTTTGAAACTCGTGATCCGTTTCTGATTCGTCAGGTATATGCTTAATTTAATTTTATGTATGTCAACAACAGAAAAATTACAGTGCCATGCTTCTTTGCCAGGTTTATTGTGGCTTGATAATTTCTTTTTCTTGTTTGACATGAAACAGGAGAGGGAGAACCCTACCTTGACTGAGTGGGATCGCTTTGCGCACAGAGAATATATTAGGCTGTCAATGGAAGAAGACGTCGAAGATGCATCCAATGGAAGTGCGGAAGTTTGGGATGAACCACTTGAGGCTCCCTTCTGAGACCACCTGGGTGAGTTAGATTTCCTACAATTATCTTGAGATAGCGGTATGGGCATCATTCAGGATTGTTGAATGGAACATTGAAATTTGATAAATTAATGGATCCCTTCAAGGCTGTGGCTAGTTAGATTAATGCGACTTCATATTGCCTCCTAGGATAAACTTATAAGTTCCCTGCTTTGAACCGCCCCCTTTGATAAGTTTGTGACGGAAAAAAATAAAATAAAAAAATGAGATAGAAGTTCATAATTCATGCGTGAAACATGTTATTTTCTGCGCTTTTTACTCATTAGATCTCAATGCTGCCTGCTCAAGAGATCCTGCCCAGCAAAGTTTCGACAATATGCCCAGCTGATATCTGTAGAGTGTTAATGCGTGATACTTATACTTTCTTGGTCCGGTCATTTTTTTTATATATAAGGACTAATAAAGAAAGTAATACAGCTTTGTCTGAGATATGCATATTTCCTAACTAATTTCCCTCCCATTTTTCTTTCTTGAACTTGTTCTCTTGGAATTTCTGCTTCAAGTAGTTGTTTGCTCCTCCTGTAGGTTATGAATAGAAGCTTCGATCATTCTCCATGCTAGTTACTGCGCTGGGGAGTCATCCTGCAAAATTAAAACAGAAGTGGCTGTGCATCCATCAGAACTCAAACTTGGCGTCAGCTGTTTGGTCCTATCTTGGATTTCCCTTCAGAAGATGGCCTTTGATTTTGTTTTTTTTTGTGTTAGCTGACTGATAGCGAGGGACTAACAGTGGAACATTTCAGAGCACCGAAGCACGAGGGCAAAGTTTCTGCGAAGGTGTAAGCAGAGAGAGTTTTAAGTGCGTCAAGGCCCAAAAGGGGTAGTTCCGGAGACATCGAGTTTCTATTCTTATGTGTATGCTATGTCATTTTTTTCCCTATGGTAGTGGGTTGGTCGTCCCTTCTTGAACATAGGTTGTTCCTTAAGAAAAACTGTGTGTGTATGTTCATTTACCCCGAGTGTTAACTGTTAAGTAGGTAGGCACATTTTTGTCTTCTTTTAGAGTCCTTTCTTTTTAGCAAATTTTGTTCATATTATTGATAACCGTTTAACTTATTAGTTGATGCGACAGTTTTTTGTCGAATCGCCTCGACTCTTATTCCGAGCGATCTTTCTTGATGGTTTTTTAATGGAGTAGCTGTGAGGTGATTTTTCTGAACTTGCTGCCTATGAAATAGAACAACAGAAATCTACGCCGGATGGATCCATCATAAGGCAAATTCTTGTTGTTGTTCGTCTTCAGACTAACTTGTGTTCAAAGCACGTGCACAAGTGCAGATCCGGCGTCTGATAAATCTCCCGTGTCTTGAACCACAGTCCGATCCCTTCATGCAGTCGAAATTCTTTATGCTGCTGGAATACCTGCCCTCGTGTTGTTGATGCTCGTCGTGTGACATTACGATTTCTATTTCTTGTATTCCGAATCATTCGAGCGGTACGCATAAGTCCAGATCATATAGGATGCCGGTGGAACCAAATTTCTTGCTTAATGCATACCGAGTTACACTCGGAATCTCCGGCTGAGTAAATCCAATCTAGCTATTGCTTCTTCACTCGGAGATTAAGCACGTAAAGCATAGAAATGACGTACCACTGTCTTCAATAGGAATCGAAAACTGACATTATCGACATCGACTTCTTTCTCGGGTTGCGAAGACGCATGATTTGGAATGATGTTAACCGTGGGGCTCCTAGCAGGATACGGCAGATCTGCAATTTCAAATAGGATTTCTGTGTAAGCCCATACTGAGGCCAAACAGAAACTCCACAGCGACCAGGATGAGATTAGGTTACCAGGGAACACGAACTGGAAGCGAATCACAGGTAGATAGATAGGCAGGATCTTTCATTTCCATTTTCATCATGATGGCGGCATTTTCGCAGGGTCACAAAAATCTGGGATGACACCCCGATAATGTCGGTCTAGGAATGAGCACAGAACATGATGAGATCAGGGAACTCAAAAACCTCATCGAATAGAGAGAGTGAAGAACACCAGAGCAGAGGAGAGCCCCCACATCCTTTTTCAGGCGAGCACAGCAGAGGGTCGTGAGTTTTGGAAGCTTTTTCACCCTGACAAAGCCTCCCCCAAAAAAGAAAAGAAAAGAGGAAGAAATGTCTGAATACAGAAGAGAGAGAGAGAGAGAGAGAGAGAGAGAGAGGATTTGGCAGTGGTGAACAGATGAGGGGGGAGGGGGGGACCAGAGATGGTGTAAGAGAAACAGGGCATGTGTTTTCAGAGCCCAACTTGCCCACCAAGTTGCAACTAGCCTTAGAAGCGTTAACGTGACATCTCATTGGCTCAAATCCACTAAATTATTATTATTATTTCGAGATTGGTTCCTTTTCGATATCCCAGAAATTGTTACCAACTTCACATTTTTGTAATGGTTGATGCAAAGACCCCTTGTTGCCCTGCTATCTCCATGCTAATCCTTAGGAGTGTGCAAACCGGACCGCCCGAACCGAGAACTGCCGGGCCTGGACCGAACCGGCCGGTTGGATCCGATTTTCTGAGAGTGTCGGTCCGGTTCTCGGTTCTTAAAAGTGGAACCGGTAAATGGGCGGTCCGGTTCTCTGTTCCAAAGTAGGAACCGGACCGACTTAATATATATATTTTAAATTTATTAAAAAACCATAATCTGCTCACCTTTTCCCTTTCCTCACGCTCATGGCTCGCCTGGCTTTTCCCTTCCTTTAGGTTTATATGTAAATGTCAGGGTACATCTTCGGTTTGACTTCCTTGACATGCTTGTCATTTTTATTTCTCCCAGTTGCCAGGGGATCAAATACTTCTTCGCCTAATTGGCATCCCTTTTGAGCATATGTTGATTTCATGTATGGTTAGGGAATTTCACCATGTTCCTGCTGATTATGCATGGACTCTACTATTTTATCGTATGGTTGAGAAATTTCTATATTGGATCGGACCAGTAATCGATCACCGCTACTAATCCTCACACTCTACACTTTGCTCATAGGTATGCCAAATTCTCAGTTCGTTAATCCGAAAATGAATCTGAGACTTTAAGTTGCCGAAAGTTCATGGTACGGGTAAGTGCGAAATCGATTAATTTGTCTAGGCTTGGCTTACACTTTTTGTTTGTCGAGCCCTGCTTCGGTCTCTGGTTTGAGGATTCCTAATTCCTAATTTGTTTAGTGATTACGATCACAAGTCATTTCAGGGCGAATAAATGCGAGGAGTCACATAAAAATGGTATTTTCTTTTTCTTACTCAAGATCTGAGATTCGACCAAGTGATCGTGATTACAAATTATGCCATGATAATGATTACGAGTACGCGAATGAAAGATCGTCATATCCATCTAGGATAAAAAAAAATGACAGTTGACGGGTAAATCAGTTTAGGGTTTTACGCTTCGTTTGTCACATGCGTGCAGGTTTTCTGTAATATTAATCCAATTTAACTAAAACTAAGAGAGGCTAAATTTATCACATATGTACAAATTTAGAATTTTTGATAAATATTTTGTGATATTAACTCTCGAAAAAAATCATCGAACGTGAATCGAGAAGCGAAGGGTGTCACGACCGTGTGGGGGTGGTCCCTGGATTGCCCCCCCACACTTTAAGGGCAGAGTACGATCAAAGTCATGGGAAAGCAAAGAGAGAAAGAAAGAAACAAATCCACCGTACCATGTTCATTGTCTCGAGATCTACTTGACAACCTAAGTCCATCATCATACCTAATCAGAAATTAAAATGACTGGCCAACGAGATGGTTAAAAGTACGATGCCGCTCGTTTGGTCCGTCGAACGCCGACTCGGGCTGTTTCGTTCCCCGGCGCTGCTCGCGCGATTGCGACGAATTGAAATGTGTTAACGATCAATCATCTCTTAAACTCCACTCCGCATCGATTGCTTCTTGAGAGCGTGTGAAGTCATCTTATCGTTCACTCGGTCCCCTACATTTTGGAAGTTGATTTTTCCGTGGCTAAACGCGGAGCAATTGCCGAGAAATACTCCGAATTCCACAAGTCGTGCAAAATGCCCTCATGAACTAACCACGACAAGCCCCTAAGACCATGACCGTCTAACAACATCTCCTCCAAAGCATGCGATTATAACGAACGATCCGAAGTTCCATCTGGAGACGGGCTTTCCAAATGAGATTCCTAACTCTGGAAAAAGAAAAAAGAGAATCCCAATATACCGTCGCGAGTGGCGGGTCTCGCAAACTCGCGCCGTCGTCTCTCGATGAAATCCATCCATCTGAATCGATGCGCGTATCATGCCGATTACCGATAAACTCCACAACTACTACATTCCACACGAAGAGGATTTAGACGTCTCCTACGATTATTAGCGATTCTTGCTCGTTTCAAAACCTTTCGAAGCTGTCCCACCGAGGACGAACGAAAATTTATAATAAAAGAAGGAAGTCTGGTATAGATGCTCTCGTGGACTCTTCAAGGCCATGTTTGGCTTTGGTTCGAAGCCAAGGAATCGATCACGCTCGTGCACGCCATGCGACTTTTACAGGTAGATGTGGCCAAGCAGCCTCTCGTCGAGTCAAACTGTCGGTAGCAGGAAAATTGATTAGGAACTTTGATTAGCATCATCCAGTGTTAACAAGATCTGCCCCATTTCGCGAACATTTTTAGCACGAAATTAATTACGACATAACATGTGTCCACACGTTATTGGGTGTTTATATATGTATAAAAAAGTGGGAAAATACTAATCTCGAGATGCATAAAGAATGTGCCTCCAAGGCAAAGACGTTGATATGAACCTACGAATGGGTCCGATATGTAGAAAGCCATTGCGTGCGGTATTTAGATGAAAGGGCGACACTGCCGCATCGGTGATATGCGGGGCGATCCGACCTTCCGGGCCTCGAAAGGCCTTGCGTCGGGTATAGAAATATCATCGGCGACGGGTTTAAACTATCTTTTTATGAACGGTTTATTCGGTTGGTGAAGCGATCCGCGTGTTATTGGGTGTTTACATGTAAAAAAAAAAGGGAAAATCTTAATCTCAAGGAGCGTGAAGAATGTACCTCCAAGACAGAGAGGTTGGTACGAATCCATATAATGTCGGATTGCCCGGTCTGATCTATAGTAAGCTATTGCGTGCGGATTTAGATGAAAGGGTGACGCCGCCGCATCAGTGATATGCGGGGCGATCCGACCTTCCGGGTCTTGAAAGGCCTCGCTTCGGGTGTAGAATGTCACCGAGGACCGGCAAAAATATCTTTTTTTTGAATGGTTTATTCGGTTGGTGAAGAGATCCAAAAGGAATTGAATTAGAACCATCCAAAAAGGGCTTTTCGGAAGAGCCCCCACCTTTGTTTCTCCAAATTTTGATTTTTGCCACTATGGTGGGGCTCACCATCGCTCGCCTCACCTAAGTCGCTCCACCACCGTTGGATCTCCCGCTGGAGGGTCCTCCGTCTCCATCGAAAAGTCAATACACCCCGATTAATCAATTCGATTAACTAAATCGATTTGGAGAAAAACAAAGAGAGGATGACACAAATTAGGTGAAGACGGATCCAGGATCGGTTCAGGTTCCACCTAGAACTTATCCGTCGGAATTGCTGAACCTGGAACATACCCTATAACCCACTCCATCATAGGTTTTAAGGTCGGTTTCAGGATATACTCAGGTTCTATCGATTGTGGTGAATCATCACCTCTAATGATCATCTTTTGCTGCTACAGCTATTGGCCACAACTCATATTTAGACACAAAAAAGAATTTGAAAACATTAACAAAGGAAAAGTCTCAGAAATGGATATTGCTGGAAATGGAACCTCAGATTAGTGGTTCCAAATCACACACTCTTCATCAGTCGCTAGGGTATATTGTGGGATTGTGCCAAGACATAAAGCAAGAAAACACACAAAGACTTGTTCTAGAAACCTGCCCGTCGGAACTAGTCTCCCGACTTTTGGAACTTGGAACCTACCCTACGTATTCTAAAACCTGACATTAGTCCGGTTCTCCAATTCCCTTATTACTCTGGAACCATGCTCATCCCTAACACAAATGGTCTATGATCTTTGGCCCAATGCACAATATGATCCACGAACTTTTTGATTCGTTCAATATGATCCCTAAACTAGAAACTAAATTAATCATGTACTAAAAGTTTAGGGATTACATTGAACATGTTTAAAGTTCGGGGACGGCAGTGCACATTAGGCTAAAAAGCTCATAGATCGCATTGGACAAATTGAAAGTTCAGGGACCACACTGCACATCGGGCCAAAGTTCAGGAGCCATCTTCGTCATTTTCCCCGAAAAAGAAGAAGAAAAAAAAACAAAAAATTCCTAAAAATTCGCCAAATGGCACTTTCGCAATTCCGCCCAAACCCGAGCCCCACTTTCGGCAGGCGCGATCTCGAGTGGCAGTCCCCGTAATTCGGTGGGAACTCCAGGGGCGTACTGGTTTCTCTCTCTCTCTAGAGGAGCGGAGAGTTGCGAACGAGTCCGATGACTACTCTCTCTCTCTCCCCTTCTCCTCTACAAACTACATCCCACCACCACCCACCTGAACAACATACGCAGTAGCAGTAGCAGAGCCACAGAGAGAAGAGAGAGAGAGAGAGAGAGAGATCTGAGTCGGGGACGACGAGTCGGCGAGTCGACGACGACCACCGAGTTCGTCCAGGGGGGGGTCAGCGTCGAACAGTGGGGAAAAGGGGGTTCCGGGTTTCCAACTCCTTTCCTTTCCTCTCCTCTCCCTCTTCGGTTCCTCGGACGGAGGGAGCGTGTGTCCCGACCGTTGGATCTGCCTCCCCGCGAGCTCGCGCCCAGCCGCCCGATCCTCCCGTGCGGATCGTACCGCCGCCCTCGTCTTTCTCTCTCCTCCCCGCCGCCCCCGTCTTGCCGATTGCCTTTCCTCCCGTCAACGGTGGCCTCGCCCGCGTGATTTGACCGCGCCCCCGGGTGGGTGGGGGGAGAGGAGCTCTTTGGGAGTTCTTGGCCGCCGCCCTCGGTGTTCTAAGGTGATCGCTTTTTCTTCTTTTGCTTTTTTTTTTTTCGCTTTTGCTTTTGGGGGGTCCGTTCGAAGCTTTGATTTGGTCGAAGAAAGGCGACTTTGGAGAAGCTGGGTCGTTCTTTTTCTTGTTAAAGATTTGTAAAGGAGGGGTTTTCTGAGATGGGCGGTTGCTGTTAGTGCGAGACTTGCTGGTTTGAAGTGAGTGCGATAATGTTTAGGCTCTCTTTCTTTTCAAGAAAAAGAAGATGTAAAGATTCGGCTTGTGTTGCGCGATTTGAGCTTTACGCCGTGGCTTTCTTGTTTTTTTGTTCGATTGGGCAGGTTTTAGCTCTTGGGTCATTGCAGTGCTTGCTGAATGATGCTGCTGCTGGTTGGTTGGTTTTTTTGAGGCATAATTTGGGTTTTGAAGGATCTGAAATGGGTGTAGCTGGAGGGCTGATTACGTTCAGCGAGAGCCCGAGTCTTCGCTGCTCGTGATTGAAAAGTCTGAACTTTCGAGATGAACGGGAAGTGGTGGACTGCGAGTCTAGATGTGGCGGAAGACGTTTGAATAGAGGAAGAAGTCATAGAAGTCGCATTGAAGTCTACTGGAGGAGGATGGATAGGTTACTGTCGTCGCTTAGATATTAGTTCTACAGCTTGGGTTATGACAGAAATGGTGCTGTATACGAATTAGAAGTATCGGAACACGGAGAAAAGGGTTCTAGAGAGAAGCTATGGAAGATTACTTGAAATATGCCCACAGTCCTGCTCACTTGGCAGTCTTGCGTCGTGACCACACCTCCCTCAGGCGCATCATTTCTTCCCTCCCTCGGCTGGCAAAGGCGGGTGAGGTTAACACTGAACCCGAATCCCTCGAGGCTGAGCAAAGGGCGGATGCTGTCTCGGCTGTCATTGATCGGCGTGATGTTCCTGGAAGGGAGACCCCGCTCCACCTTGCAGTGCGTATCCGGGATCCAGTATCTGCGGAGATTTTGATGGCAGCTGGTGCAGATTGGAGTCTCCAGAATGAGAATGGCTGGAGCGCTCTGCAAGAAGCCGTATGCACTAGAGAGGAATCAATTGCTATGATTATCGCACGCCACTACCAGCCCCTTGCTTGGGCCAAATGGTGCCGGAGACTTCCTCGTATAGTTGCTTCAGCTGCTCGTATACGTGATTTCTACATGGAGATAACTTTTCATTTTGAAAGCTCAGTGATTCCATTTATTGGTCGTATTGCTCCATCGGATACGTATCGCATCTGGAAGCGTGGTTCCAACCTTCGAGCTGATATGACCCTAGCTGGTTTTGATGGTTTTCGAATCCAGAGATCGGATCAGACTTTTCTGTTTCTTGGAGATGGCTATACTTCTGAGGATGGTAATCTATCTTTGCCAAGGGGGTCTTTAATCGTTCTTGCACACAAGGAGAAAGAAATCACAAATGCTTTGGAAGGAGCTGGTGCCCAACCAACTGAGGCAGAAGTTGCGCATGAGGTAGCGTTAATGTCTCAAACGAATATGTATAGGCCAGGCATTGATGTTACTCAGGCAGAGCTTGTCCCACATTTAAATTGGAGGCGGCAAGAAAGGACTGAGATGGTTGGGAGTTGGAAAGCTAAAGTCTACGATATGCTCCATGTGATGGTCAGTGTGAAGTCGAGGAGGGTTCCTGGTGCTATGACAGATGAGGAGCTTTTTGCTGTGGAGGATGAAGAAAGGATGGTTCATGGTGGTGGAAATGATGATTATGATGAGGTCTTGACCGCTGAGGAGAGGGCTCAGTTAGAATCTGCGCTCCGTATGGGAAATGCAGATGGTCTTGAGGATGACGATAATGCGATGGATGACTGTCATGAAAATGGTTCAGCAGGCGCTCACGAAAATTGTGAATCCAATGGTGTTCTTAAGGAGAAGAAGAGCTGGTTTGGTTGGAAGAAGGGGGCAAAGAGTGGAACTGATGATCCTGATGATACAAAAATATTAAAGAAGTTCTCGAAGTTGGCTCCGGAAGGTAGCAATCAAAAGTCAATGGATCATCAAAAAGCATCCTCTGAGCTTGCGAAGGATGACTTGGTAGATTCTAAGAAGGAAAAGGAGAAATTTGCCAAGAAAAGGAAGAAGAAAGTGGTCAATGGTGAATCTAAGCATGAAAGTGAGTATAAAAAGGGTCTGAGACCTGTTCTTTATTTGACACCAGACTTCCCTCTGAAAACAGATGAGCTCTTACCTTTGCTTGACATCTTGGCCAACAAAGTTAAGGCTATTAGGAGACTCAGGGAGCTTCTGACTACAAAACTTCCATCTGGCACATTTCCTGTCAAGGTAAGTTTTCTGTATCTGTCGATTCTAATTTTGTTTGTTGTACTGGCTTTTCTAGCCTTTTGTTTAGGCTGGTTATGCAGATCTTTCATGGCTTGGGTTGGAGTAATTTGTGATGTTATTCTGTGTTTTGGTTGCACCAAACTCATGGTTTGCCATGTTGCAATCTTAAATCTCTAATTTTCTTTTAGAGAACTGGTTAGATGGAAAGAAACAGTTATCTGCTTGTTTACGTGTATGATGTTCATATACCTGCATGTGCATGCGGCTGAGTCACACGGTACATAAATGTAATGTGGTGAAACTGCTTTAGGGCATGTCATGAGTATAATGTGCGATTGGTTTTCAAATGGTCTTTGTAATAGAAAGAAAGTCAAGAAAGCTCTCGGATTGGTGTATTCCAGACCTATCATGGTCAAGCTGAAGAAACGTATATTGTTGTTACTTGTTAAATAACTGGGTTTGGCATATTTGTGGGATTGTGATCTCAGAAACACATCATGTCTATCTCATAACTTGTGCTCTTTCTTAGATGGTTTTCTTTTCTGCTGGATTAAGCTTAAAAAATGCTGTTGGAGATCATTGTTTTTGACAACAATACGATGAAAAGTTATGAGTAACTTGCAAATACATTGAAGAATTTATGACAAACAGATTTACATCTTGTGGTCACAACAACTAGAAACGTAGCCATGGATAATTACTTGAAAACAAATTAGAAAAAGGTAGTGGTTGCAGCGTTGGCACTTGTATTCTGTCATCAAGATGATCACCTAACTGAATATAGCATATTCCTTGCAGCTTGCCATACCTATTGTGCCCACCATCAGAGTTCTTGTCACATTTACAAAGTTCGAGGAACTTCAACCCCTGGAAGAATTTTCGACCCCTCCCTCGAGCCCAGCGCATTTCCAGGATGCGAAATCGAAAGAATCTGAAGGGTCGTCGTCATGGATTTCTTGGATGAGAGGGAGTCGTGGTGGGCAATCTAGTGACAGTGATAGTCATCGTTACAAGGATGACTTCGACCCGTTCCACATTCCATCAGACTACACCTGGGTTGATGCGAATGAGAAGAAACGTCGCATGAAAGCAAAGAAAGCCAAGAGCAGGAAGCATAAGAAACCAGCAGCTGCCAGAAGTGGGGACGTGGGGCATCATAGGAGTGAACACATGGAAGAACAATAGCTTGTTTGTTACTCCTAGCTTCAAACTCAGTGTTGAAGGAGAGCAAAAGGCCATTGTGTCTAAAATCTAACATCATTGTTCTGGTTGAAATTCACCTCAGAGGTTGTGGGAGAGATTTCTGGGGGGCAATTGTGTCTGCCTGAAGAGTGGAAGATCAGTGGTTGCTCGACAAGAAGAGTAGGATCTTCTTCAATTGTTGTATGGCTCATGTGATGAGGAGCCGGTGATAGAATTCAATCTTCGCATTGCTTTAACTGCTTGTTTCTATTGTAGTTGTTGTCAAACAACGATCTTTGTATCTAAATCTTCCATTGTCCCGCATAAACATGTCATGATGATTGATGAGTATTCTTTTTTATTCGTCTTTTCAGCAAAACTCGATTGGTAGTGCTCTTTCGTCACTCTCCGCTTGTTATCATCTAAGAAAAATGACAGGAGAGTACTTCTGGTTTTGCAGAATTTGACAGTAAATCTAAGTTAAAGAGTGTGGACATCTTTAGTTTCATAGTTCCTCTATCTTTCTGAAGGTACAAATATAAGGTTACAGCTTATTAGAAGTGCTGTGTTGTAGTCCAGTGCTTGTTCTGAACTTGGCTCGTCTCCATTCAATTTATCGCCTTCATATTACATTATCCTCTCTGCTTTTTGAATTTTTAGAGGTCTTCGGATCCTGTCTTATCTGTCTATCAAGAGGCTGAAATCCATATTCAATCTCTATTTATATATTTGGCAGCTTATGATGAACATTTCCCACTCAGTAGTTCGCTTTGAATCAATAATAATGCATTTAGATATTTGATCACCGACTGCTATCATGTCATCCAAATAGTATGGATTTGCTAAACTAGGCTGGTCAGAGGTGTAGAGCTAGCTGAGTTGCACCTCGTCAAAGGGCCTTTCCACTTCCTCATGAAATCTTCATTAGAGGGACCAATAGGTCCCGGATCACCACGAAGTATTATTAACTTTGTATTAAGAATATTCCATACGGTTAGGGGAATCGCATCATGGTAATGCTAACGTCCTGAGGCACCATAGAGAAGAATGAGGGAATTGGCACTAAACCCCAACATCGTGTGGCCTGTAAGAAGGATACTCGAGGAACCACAAAACGACACCAGCCAACCACGAAAGGGCAAGAAAGAGAAGGAAATTCAATAAAATTGAAGATCGAGAAAGTGGGCAAGACCGAAGAAATAGAGAAAAAGAGAAAGAGTAGGTGTTGAGGATGGCGTTGAGGATTTTGCTTTTATCTCTATTTGTCGGAGAGATAAATCAGACAAATTTTGTATCCATAAAGTTGAGAGAGAATTTATACTTTCACGAGCAAACGTTGGACCCCAAATAATAGATTTAAAACGTTAGAATATCTCACTACACTCTACATTGAAATAACAATAAAACCTAATTAATTATATAACTAGTTGCAATTGGAAAAGACAACAAACGGTATAAACAAACAAATGAAACTCCTCATCTCCAACGGTCACTTTTTGGGCCGCCTACTTCTCCTCCTTTCAAACTTTCCGGCTTCTCTCTCTCTCTCTCTCTCTCTCTCTCTCTCTCTCTCTCTCAGAAGTCAATGAACGCTTGCTAAGCATCTGCTTGAAACTCGACCCTTCATAATGGGTTGCCTTTTGGGTTGTTTTAATGCTTCCAAGCATCAGAGACGCCCCAAATCGGCTCAAATCTCTCCTTCCAAGCCTCAGGTATGGTCTTTCACTTTTTTCTTTTGAAGTTTCTCGTCTTCTTTACATTCCCTTCCCTTGTCGCTATAGAGCTCTGATATCTTGGTTCCTTTCGCGTCCCAGAGCCAGGCCAAAGCTCTTTTACCTGCCGGATCCACAGAGAAAACAGACGCTGAAGCTCTCATTGAGATCAGAAGAGAATCACGGTAACGGGTTTGGTGGGTTGAGGTGTTTCATCTGGGATTTTTCTTAGCGTTTTGTTTGGTGAGTCAATGCAGTCTTTCAAGGAGTTGGGGTTCGTTTGCTTTTTGCAGTGTAAGTGATGAGAAGCAGTTGGAGCAGCTCAACCATGGCAAGAAGAAAGTTGCATTTGATTTGCATGTCAAGACGTATGAGTTTTCGCCTGCTGTTGAAGAAGAAGAAGAAGTTGGAGTTGGTGATGTTTGGATTGAGGTAAATGAGGCGAAAGAGAGAGAAAGCGGATCAGTCTGTCGTTCGACTTTAATAGAACCAAATGGGTCATCTTGTGCTTGGAACAATAGATACACGGATTGCGCAAGCAGTGATGATGAGCTTGGAGGCACCGACCTTGAGGAAATCGATGTAGAAGAGGATGGTGTTGAAGACGAAGGAGTTGGTGTTTGTGATGGAGAGATTGCGGTGCAAGAGGAATCATCCGAGTCTCTGTTTTCTCTGTCAATAGATTCTAGAAAACATTCCTTTGTCGCTGAAGTTGCGGACAAGGAGGAGGTTAACAGTCCATTCCCTGTGAAGAGTTCTTGGCGAAATGAACTCAACACGTCGGCTTTCAACCAGAGTGCTCGCCTTAGGATCGAGCACATCGATTCGGTGTTGAACCCAGTTGAAAATCTTCCTCAGCGGAAAGCTGTCACAGCAAGAGCAAATTCTCCAATAAAGAACCAGGACAAAGAGAATGTCCACAAGGAGAAAGAGGTTCTTTTGTCCACTGGACCAAAGCCCACTTTCGCACCGGCCAATCACCTTTGTAAACCAACTTCAAACAATTCTAGGTTCACAGGCCAAGAAATTGCAGTTGATACAAGCCTTTCGAGCTGGTTGGTCGATTCCGAAGCCACGCCCAAGTCGAAATGTAGCAATGACTCGGTGGGAAATTCGCCCTCAGAAAGAGCTAGCACGCCCAGGAGCGACAAAGGCCAGCCAGTTGTGGAAGTTCCTATTGTAGAAGACCTCAGGCAGTTCTCTGCTTCTACATCTCCGAGGTGGTTGAGAGGCCGAACTCCTGACGAATCACCTGTTTTAGGTACCGTGGGGAGTTATTGGAGCCACACTGGGCAAGCTGTGGAGTAGGACTTGGGCTCTTCGTGCAAGCTTTGTTGTTATGCGAACAAGAGGTACCTGTGGATTTTGGCTAATCAGTGTAAAAATGTTTTAGTTGGCAGTGTTTACTAACAAGCTTTCTTGTTATGCAGAAAACTCCATCTGCAGCAAGGCTGGAGAGTACTTTAGAGGGGAGGTAGAATTGCATGTAGCTCGGAAGCACGCTTTCAGTGAAGCTATCTGGTACTCTTTTTGGGTGTACGTAATAATACCTAATGAGCAACGTATTCCTTGATTCCAATTTTCAATTAAATGCATTGACATGGTTGAAGTCACCTTGTATTGCTGTTTTCTTCTTCACATATGTGTCTCTCTTGTGCAGTTTCTTTGGTGACAGTTTCAATAAACTCAACTTATGCGAAATTCATCAATATGATTGTCTTCACACAGTATTTTCAACTTGTTTGGAGCCATTGGTATAACGAGAAACTTATTGTCCAATCATGAAAGTTGACCAGAAAGGTGTGGGTTGAATGGGCACCTGAAATGAAGCGGTGAGGCTCCAGTAATAGACATAATATCTTGCTAGGGAAACCTTCAATTCTAAGTTTCTAACATGGAGTAAAAAGAAAGCGTGGCCTGAAAATTATGATTGAAAATGCTCAAATCCAACATGGCAAACCAATTTTGCTGTAAAAGTTACGTGTCAAAATCCAGCAATGCTGTATTTTGGTTTCTGAAATGCCCATTTATCATGAACTTCGTACCTTGTATGTTCAAGTGAAGTTGGTGAGATGCGATGAGTCTTTCTTTATTGATCTGCTCTGTTCAGTTGGCAACTTAAGAAGAGTTTCTGCAGAGTAAGAACGATGACTTACAAATGCTGTGAGTTTGATATATCTAAATTGTGCATTTCAGCCGTCTGTTTAATAAGTGAAACGTGATACAAAAAGCGAATGCCACATTAGCCTCCATTAAATACCACCGTAGTTTTCCAAATAAAAAGCAATTTAGTGGAAGAACTTAAAAATTTGGTGATATTGTTGAAAGTAACTCTGAAGTTGAATGATCGACCATAGATCTCAGCATGACTGTTTAAGGCATAAACCATATTTTTTTGTACATTTATATTCTCTCGGCTCGACACAGGATGCAAACTGCTATCATCTTCTTGAATAAAGAATTTAAGTATAGATCATTCTATTGCAGCAATAGAACAGCTGGAGAATTGTCAGTCTATGAAGTGTCCTCTTCGTTCCAAAAGCTTGGTGTCTTTCTCGAGAAAAAAAGTTGAAACTGTCAAGAAAAAGTTTAGTGAGAAATGGAGCCTTCAAAAGATGGAATTAGATGCATGGCTGAGTGACCTAGATGTTGGTTATGATGTAAACAAATTTCTTGATGAAATTACGGTAAATTTGATAGCATGCCAACCATAGAGAGGTGGAAAGCATGCAATGGAATCACCCTCAAATTGAATGAAGTTAGATTTAGAGATATTAAATCATTTTCCAGTGGAGATATCGGCTCCAATCTTGACTTCGTATCACTTGTTGCAATGGGAACTTAGGAAAGACCACAACCGCAAAAAGCACATGTGATGATCCGTGGAAGGTTGAGGATGTATTGAGACATCATGGAACACAGCACCACGGTGAATCAATGTACCTGCTACTCAGGAAATGGAAATAGTGAACAGCCCGAGGCTAAAACATGCAAAGATTCTTCTTTTTGCTGCAAATGAAAAAATGCGTATGTGGGCAGTAATGGCTGATGGATCACCTTTTTGTTACGCTTATGGATCATCTTGATTTGTTGAATAAGATACAAAGTGGAAGGAGTTCTGGCCTTCTAGGCACACAGCAGATAGAGCAAAACAGGATCTTAAACTTCGCTGGAAGAAAATGAACAACTGCTTGAGACGCATGTTATTCTGATTGGAAATACATACACATGTTATTCTGATCAGCCAAAGTTGTTTCAGAGAGAAAATAGCTCTGAAATGTTGGCTTACCGTAGATGTTGCACATTTGGTATGGGTAACTAGCATGTTTGCCCATAACTCTGGATCCCTCTTTTGCTAGCAAAGGCCACGGTAGTACTCACCAGAGTCGTCCTTACCAAACGTGCAATTAATAGAGGGTCAACAGATCAATGTGATGTGTACTTTCTAAGATTTTTGGTAGCCAAATCCAATCACAGTGAAATTGAAATTTCGGTCCACACAGTGGTAGAGATTGACATTGCAACTGCCACCACATGCGATGCATCGCAAGCCCTCCTTATAATAGGTAAGACTCTGCTGATGGAAGTGATGCTGTGGAGCTAGTTCTTGGATGCACAACTAGCATGCAATCCGAGTTCACATAGTAAGCAAGAGAACATAATGTGA